GCGCTAGGATTCAAACCCATGACCTAAGAACTAATAACCAAGTCACCTAACCACAACTTCAACTAGTACTTTGTGAATAACTGATTGTAGAGAACAATTAAAACTATTTAGTGTTATAAATATAATCTTGAAAAAAATTAGAAATCTTTAAAATTACTTTTTTTATTTATTTTTAACAAAACTCTACTGACCAAAATAAAATAGTTTCAATTAAATGAAAAAAATAATAAATTATTATTTTATTAGGTAAAAGTTCTTGTTGAAGGAAATTTACATTGAAAAGAGAGGTTATTTTCTCATTGAATATCGTTACTTAAAATGTAATAAATCCTAAATATAAATGATATTTAGTAATTTTAGTGTAGGTTAGGAGTTCTCAAACAACATTTAATATATCAATTAAAAGAAAAAAATTTATAACTATTATAAACCGTTAACTAAGAAATTTCCCCAAAGCATGCAAGATATGATTCATAAAATCCACAAGGAATTTAACCCGCATGTGATTTTAGAAAAACTTAGAATAACCCAATACCTAGAATTCCAATAAAGAAACAATAAAAGAAAATACTTGCCTAAAAAATGCATAAAGTGTGGAAAATATTCATATAATATTATGATAAAAACAATGTAATAAAAGCTATCTACAAATTAATTATCATAACTCTAGGATGAGAATATTAGTAATTGGATAATGTAATCATGAAAATAAAAGAGTTTAGGATAAGAAATGCTTGCCGATAAATAAATTAGAACTCTAAATTTAGAAATCCCTATCCGTTCCCTGTGCTTGAGTACCCGATTCTCTGATTTTATTTTTCTCGGTTCTCTTTTTTTCCCCCTCCGTTTGTTTTTTTTTTCTGGAAGTTACTGTGAAGAAAAGGTAGAGGAGATGGATAGGGATTTTTAAGAGATAATGTTGTTAGGTGGTTAGAAATTTTCGAGGATGGGGGATTTGTTTGTTAAACGTGGGATTTGGTATATCTTAGCCACATTACAAAAAAAAATTGGTATTACAAGAAGATTTATTAAAAAGGGATGGAGGGTGCTGGTATATCAAGTGAATAAGTTTAACATACAATAGGGTATAAAACTGTCATGCAAAAGAGAGGGAATCAGAGATGTTTGAAGTTGTTGTACAAGAAGAACAATTGGAGTGTTAGATATCAGAAACCACGTTAAGTATGAAAGGATGGAGGAGATGCAGGTTCATCAACGAAAATGGCATGGTAAGTACAATTGAAATAGTCATGGAAACAAATTGATATACGTAGTTCTGGATTTTGTTGAGATGATGGCAATTTTTCTTGAATGACAACAGTGTAGTAGAGATCTGAATTCACATTATACAAACAGTAATAAAATGGACGATTTTAATATGATTAGGTTAAAATGAATGGTTGTTACTTGATGTGTGTATACTCTATTCAATGCTTATTATTTTACTGTGTTCACTTATATTTTTGAATGATAGTAACTGCTAGTATACTTCTCTTTTGTGTATATGCAGTTCATGAATGGGTGCACGTATTAGTGGTTTTATTATCAGTGAATGTTATATCATATATATTACGTACCTTTTTCCATTGACATCTTATGTTTTGAAGCAATAAAATATCAGTATCTGACACCTGCTTTTTTGGATTAAATCATTTAATCTAATTTGAAATCACCTTTTGATCAAGCTTTCACGGGTTCACGCAGGTTATGCTGCTGCTTTTTCTCCCCTTCTTGTTTTGAGTGTTTGTAGATGGCTAATGCCCAATAACTCTACAAATGTTTGTAGAGAGGCTGCTAAGTAAGTGGAAGCAATATCTCCATTTGTTGCCAGAATCTAGTCTACTACTTGATTACTGCATGAGATCCTTAAATAAGAACAGTGTTTTTAAGCTATAGTATGTGAAGAGGCTAGACGTTCTTTTCTCCCATTCTGCGTGAGAAATATATTTGACAGTACCATAAATGAACTTAATATTTGTAACATTAATGGTAACTTGTTCTGTCTTATGGAACGCTTTGGGCACCACATTTATTTATTGCTCTTTGTTTCTGTTGGTTCTTATACTGTCCGTCTTACATCAAGTTCTGCATAATTTATGTTCTTGAGAAGGAATGATATAATACTCAGTTTTTTATGCAGATTTCATATGCAACTGGAATTCTAGGACCGACTTCAACAGCTATTCTTTGTGAGTGCTCGGGTGATCCCACTTATTTCTTTCTTTGTTAACCCTGTTGGGCGCTCGAGTGAGGGGAAATAAATGCTCACGCTTTCGGAACCCTTGGTCATTTCTGAAGGAGATTTTCTGTATTCTGGGCTCATCATCCCACATTTTTTGCAATTCTGTATGTTATTGTTGTTGTTTGATGGCATTACACATTGCAGATATGTAGTTTGTATGTCCGTATGTAGGAAAATAGAGAAATGAAGCTGACTCGACTGCATTAAATCTATGATACTCGGACAATGCGTTCTGTTGGATGCTCATGAAATTTGGTAGATAAAAGTGGCGTTTCTCCAGTAAGTAGCGTGCGCCATATTGTCATATTGATAGCAGGATGGACTTCATAACTTTAGTATAATTAATCCTGTTTTTGCTCAAGAAAACCAACTTTTGTTTGTTTGACTTCATCACACCTCATTTGGAAAATCCATTCCGGATAATAGACGTTGAGCTACTGGAGTATGTAGCTTGATTAGTTATTTCCTTTTTTTTATCTCACTAATCGATAAGAACAGTGCACATAGATTATATAGCATGTGGTGCAAGAAAGTAATAATGGTGTATGATTATATAGCATGTGGTGCAAGAAAGTAATAATGGTGTATGTTTATGTATTATGTGGTTCAAGAAAGTGATAGTCATATTTAACACCTATTTTCAGTGCCACGATCCTTTTACGAATTGTTATAAATGTTTTTTTAACAAGGAGGATCAATTTTCGAAAATAATCAATTTGAAGGTTTGGTTAAATATATAAAACGATAGTTAAAAGTTTCTTCAAATTATGTTGCAGTCTGTACCAGGATACTAGACACATTCTTTTTTAGAATCCAGATAGTGCTTTGTAGATATGGACTTATTTTACTTCATTTGAGACCTCTCTAGCTTGTCGTGGATAGGAAAATAAGTAAACTGAATCTGAATTAATTGAATAGAGATCCCTCACTTATAATTTTCACAGGTTAGTTAGTATTTGATGTCGATTTCCATTTATTTTGTGAGAAAATATTGTATTTATTTATTAGAGCTCGTATGTATATTGAAGTAAAGCATTATTCAGAAAACAATTTACCATAAATATAACCTGAATTAAAGCATTTTACTTTGTAGATACCTATGTTTATTTAAATAGTCTTTGAAAATTAGATTTGTCGATGCACCTTTTTTTGTTATTAATAAGCTTGAAAATGTTTATATTTCATGGGAAAATGTCTGTGGTCGTATATTATATAAATGGGCTTGAAAAAAAGATGAACAATGAACCTTGTACAAACATGAAAACTTAGCCTCCAATAATTCTGACACAAGTGATGCTTCTTAATATAGGGAAGGGTGAAAATTTTGTGAATTATTGCACATTTGCACCTACAAATTCGTTGAGGACCCTAACCCAAAATTTTGAACGTCCTATGCGGGGTGTAATGGAAACACCTCAAAAAACTCAAGTAAATTAGAAATCAATTATTAAAAGAAATGGAGCCTATTATAATACATAACAGAATTGGAAAACATATCATCGTAGTGTCATTTTAATTCGCTCTAATATCTCATTTGATGCAGACAACATTTTAGTATTCCAACGATTGGATTTGAAAAGGGGAAAGTTGTTAATGTCAATTCCTATCATAAAACTGTTCTTAAAGGGGTTAAAAAAATTAATATGCAATGACAGGGAAATATTGAATTAAAGAAAAAAAATCTATTAAAATTTTCATTAGTATATTTTGGAGTTTTTCCCCTTGTTTAGTTCATATATAATTACTAGCATAAATTTCAGCAAACTACCATGACCTATTTGGGTTTTGTACCAAACTAACATAAAACTATACTCTTTTATCAAATCTTGATCCTCATAGACCCCATTTAGTGTATGCTCTCACCGTCTCTTACTAGTCTCTTTAATCTCTTCCGTGTATAATCTTCCTTCTTTTACTGTTCCTGCTTTGCAATATCCCCCGCCACCCCCCACAATAAATAAATAAATAAACCCACACTGTGAGAAGTGTACATGACACTGTTGCCCTCATCGACCAATGATGTTGAAGATGTCTATTACGACATGTATCACTAGTTATATGATCTTTGAGTTCTGTTGATGATGATGATGCTTGGGTGGGTTGGTGGGTGATGTGGTGCGGATTGGTGATTGATAGTTGTGATGGTGAAGGTGATGACATAGCATATAGTAGAGGTGGTGAACTAGGGTGGTTATGCAACAATTATGAGAGGTGGGTTGGGACAAGAGGTTAGAGGTTGATGTGGAATAAGATAGAAACTGGAGAGAGATCTGAATCCAAAGCATAGTTGCGCAATTTCCTGGACCGCCTACCACATGACAACAACATCATGTGCATGTGACAAGCCTCATGTATTTTTAGATCAGGTGAACAATATTTGCTATTGATGGAAGGTCAGAGCGAAAATACAAATACAAATTCAATTTGACCATACTTGTACTACTAAAGAGTATACATATTTCATACCAGTAGTTACTCTCACTACAAAAGTGTGACTATTACGACAAAAACACTTTTAGCAACTCCTTGTTGGCGGTTCTAGCTTCAATCGGGACTTACGCGAAATTTAAAAAGGGTTGAAAACCATGGGGTGAGCTAGACCCCAATAATGACATTTGTGCACTAGTGTATTTGGCAAAAAATAATATCAAAATTTTAATATTAACTAAGCTAGCACCGACTTCTTTATTTGCAAATTATCAAGCATATAGGGCTGTAACAATGACTGATGCCACGTGTCATAATAATATGGGATAGCAGATTAATTATGATTTGGTCATAAATCAAGGTCATGAGTAAATACAAAAAAATTAAAAATACAACTAAATGTGATGAATTAAAATAAGAAGTTAAAGAAAAACGAAATGAGTGTCAATTCCTCATTATATCAGCCGATTACTTTAAATTATCCCCTCTGTTTGTCACACTAAGAGTACTAATTTTAGCCCACTAGTAAAGGAAAGTGAATTCATATCACTTTGACAATTTTCCTCCTAGATGTACAATACCTTTAGGCTTATCATAAGTTGTCTATTGGCCTCATCAGTTGTGTCAAAGAAGGTCATTTCTTTTACGTCAAACAGATCACTTTACTTATTAGTGCACCCAATACTTAGATAGAATTGACCACTTCACTTAATAGCGGACTTTTAGGGTTACTTTCTTTTTGAGATTTATTATCAATTACTTCTTTTAGTTGTCACAAAAACCAAGTCATGGATAAACATATGGAATATGTAGAATATTTCATAACTCGTTTTAACACTTCTCTCACATATAAAATTAAGAGAAAGCAACATTCATATTTTTCTAAATGGTGTATATGAAGAACCAAGCTTATTTGTATTCCACTTGGGTTCAAATAGACAAATGCATGCAAAATCAACAATATTAAATTTCACAATAAAGCATGCCCACACCCATTTCTCAATAAAATCAAAAGCACATATCATTGTCGCACAAATAATTTTTCACAATTCAATATACGTAGGAAATTTTTGTTTTTTTTTCCTTAAAAAAAATAAGTAGTGAGAAATGTACTCGCCTTTACCCTATGCAAAGCATGATTATGATTCCCTTAATTCAAAGAAGGGCCTGTAGTATAAAAATTTTGTAAGGTCAATACCAATTCATTTAAAGCAACTTATAGGTTAATAATACCTCTTAATCCTAGGTCCCCACAAGTTAAATGGTAAACAAACATCTAAAAAGGTTTATACTAAATGTATAAGGAATTTATCTAATAGTTTTAAAGCACCTTTTCATGGATTTTTTTGGGTCTAGGCTAAATTTTCTATTTCCTTGTAAACGAGTCTCTGTTTGGAGCCTTTGGTTAGTTCCGGAATTTCAGGGGTCTAGCACTACCCCCCTAATCTGTGGTACTTGCAAACTTTGATACATAAATTTATTCCCCAAAATTAGTGTAACACTTATAGATGAGGAATGCAAAGTTCCATTAAGTGTACATAATGCAATGTCACAATTGAGTGAAAGAAGACACACAATAGGACATATGAGTTCATAGTTTCCAGAACTAGGATAATAGGATTTATTGCTTATTGCGATCGATTCGACTGTGTGAGTTCCTCTACTCAAATATTAGTAGTATTTCGTTGTCTTCTAAAGCTAATAAAACAGCTCTCTGGAATTTAGCCAGTAACTTTACTGGATTTGAAATCCCGTGAAGTTATAAGCTTCACTAGATTTCAAATCCCGTGAAGCTTGGCTTCCCTAATCACCACACTAATGGGGGGCTTAAACTTCACGGGATTTCAAATCCCGTGAAATTTTTGATGTTTTTTCGCCAAATTAGACCTAGTTTCAGCCAACTGGCTAAAACTGGGTCCAATTTAGCAATATTTTCGAAATAGATTGTTTTTTGCAAATAAGTTTCTAAAGAGGTCTAAAACGAAAATTAGTTTAAACCTAAAGACCTCTGCTACGTATAGTTCAAAATCAGACCTCAACACAACTGAATGTCGAACAAATGAACACCTCCAGACCAAGCTTACAATAAAAATGAACATGGATCTGTTCAAATATTAATCTGGGAAAAACCTGTGTTGAATAAGAGGAGGACAAAGCCACGAGTACCTAGTGTACAAAATATAGAGAAACTACAAGTTTGCCACTTTCAATCAGAATCAGAATCCTGAACATCTGATGATCTGACACTCCTATTTCTTCCATACTCATCATCATCGTCTTCGTCATTATCCTTCTTCCTCTCATCGATTATTCCTGAAACACGAGATAGTTTTGACATCACAACCTAACACATATTTCTCAAAAAAAAATTAAGGAAACAATAAGCACCTTTTCTTTTTAAAAGACTCTCCAATGCTCTAGTAGGGAAATCATCTTTGCCTCCGAGGTCTTGAAATCCAACTATCCTATCAAAGGCAACTCCCTTCCTACAAAAATTATGCAGAGATGATTCGAAACCGAAGTTCTATATAAATCTCAGTGAGCAGCATATGTGATCAGTATCAACATATAAGAATTCATACACGAAAACGCAACAATAAAGAGGTTTCAATAAGATGAATATACCTGAACAATATTACACAAGGAAGAGTCTTGACCCCTAGTTTCGTCACAAAGAAAGGAGCATTCTGCATTAAATTCCAATAGTAATTAGTCTTAGTAAATAAATTAAAAAAACAGAGAGTGGATGCAGAAACTAACTTCAGCATCCAATTTAATGAACTTTGTATTAATATGTTGTGGTGCAAGGGCCTTCAAATGCTTATCCATTATCCTACAAAGAATAAGGACCAAACCCAACTCATTAAAATTGGATAGGAAATGACCAAACTACATAAATGTATGTGATTTAATTACTTCCATATAAGTTCTATGTGATGAAATTACTTGCAACGGTAGAACTCGTGGTGGTAGAAATGACAGATCGCTCTCTCACTCCCAGTAACTTCCCCAAGAAAGTCTCCCTCAGATATCTCTCTGTACTCACCATGGCCTTGCCTTTTCAAGACCTCCCTCTTTTCAGCTTCTTTCTGTTAACATAAGCATCCTCATAACTCCAAATTGAATATTAACTTCTTAAATTATGAATTCACAAAGAAAATGTTGTTATTTCTCACTACCTTGAGAGCAGCAATTCTGTCTGCGTGTAACTTTTCCAGCTCAGGGTCCTGAATCATAACATAGCAAAGGTTAGGTAGATTAAAGGTATAGAGACAAAATGCACTTTTCAGCATTGTCTTGAGGAACATAGACTTGATAATAACTTACATCCAATAAGTCATCAAGATCAACTTCCTCATTGGTTCCTTGGGATGCCTGAGCCTTTTGTGTAGCCAGCAGTTCCTGTACCATAGATGGATGGTCACAAGAAAGCTATTGGAATATTCATGGACTGAGCAATGACTAAAAATTTGTACAGGATTGATTATACCATCCCTCTAAAGGAAAAAAGGAGCCAAGATATAGTATTCATGTCACTTCCATATAATCAGCATTATTGGAGAAGGAATATAAAGTTATCGTTAGTAGAAATACATTATGCAACGATGTATAAACTAACAAACTTAACAGCCACACAGATTAAAAAAGATAGTATAGATATTACAGTAATAGTAGCATGCAAACTGCAAACAATTTATTTGAATTGACACTTCGTTCAGTGTATTTTCCTCCACCAAAATGCTGATCATCTTCGTCTTCCTTTGACTAGTGCCAGTTGTTGAACTGTAAGCATTGCATAGATTTTGAGTTATTGAATGAAGAAGAAATTTCAAGAGCCATAAGGTCTGTAACTTTATTAAGATTTTATTTACAATGACAAGAATAATGCAATGTTACTATCAGATCATCTATATGACTGGAAATTGACTGTCAATAGGGAGGGATGCAGAAGGACATATGAGAAAGATTGCAGTATAGATGTTTTTGCCTTTTCAAAGAGGAAACAATGTTAAGGAGAAGTTTTTAGATCAAACCCCAACTAATCCCAAAACAGCTTTTAGATTTATTAATTTATTCTAGGGGTCAACACCATTTACAAACAGGTGGCATAGTTCAAAAGAATGATTTGTTATCTAAGTTTATCAATAAATCTAGGTTGAGCTAAAAAAAATTTATCATTTCAATAAAAGAAAAACTTCTTAATTGACCTCTATTTTTTTTACTTTTTAAAGCCCTAGCATCAATCCTCTCATCAGCACTTGTAAGTTGCCAGAACATGATCATAAACTATTTACCACCCAAATGGGGTCTTCACATTTTAAATTGTTCCCGGGGTTGAGAAACAATTACAACAGCTGTCAGACTAACATCACAATTTAGCAATACGTCTTTGTTACAAAACCATGGATGGGAATGGGAATAAATGTGTAGCATCCATTTTTTACAACAAATAAGCCCCAACAATGGCATATTCGGCAATACCATGTCAATCGCCATCTAATAACACCTGAAAATAGCAAGCCTACTTACTTGAGTATTTTCAATACATTTTTAAGTAAATGCATGAGATTGTTCGATTGTGTTTCCCATCACATACTGACATACTGAGACCAGCATAAAGTTGCAGCAAAGTTGTTCCTTTTATCAGAAAGCTCAACAGAGTTTATATTAGACCTCCTCAAACCTCATGCTTTCCACAATAAAATCTAATTCAATCTCTTAGAAAGGATGAAGGAGCTCTATGCTTAGTTTATCTTGAAAGAACAAAACACTAACCTCACCTTCCTCAACAGGGCAAACTTGTAACAAAAGATATGTGGCAACCAGTTCCAAAAGCATTATATAACGATTCAGTCCACAGGCATCCGAAATCCAGATTCCTTTAGAAGCCAATAAAAATTCATCGAGAAATTACAATCGATTTTAATTCATTGCATCAGATGAAAAAAAAATCGAAAAGCGTTAGATATCTGCAAAGATGACTTTCTGTAAAACTTGCCAACAACAGGCAACTTGTATATTCAAGGAAGATTCATATAGAAAGCTTCAGTGTAAGGTATTAGAGCATGATGGAATATCACGCTAACCAATAAAGTTGAATATATTCATAGTCTTTGTATCAGACCAGAATTTTCCATTTAGCATTTATTTGTAATTCTCGATAGAGACAGGACAATCAAGGGAAAAGAATGTAATCCAGTATCATTCTCCATATCAAAGGCAGAATCACCTTCTAGTCATTTATCCCCTGAGGATCTACAGTTTAGTGAACTTTGGAGAAGGGAAATCCAACAAACAAACAAAAAGAAATCCAAAAAATGGTGAGTGTTGTCTACTTTCCAAGGTGGAATCCAGCCACAAAATGTTATATGATAAATACCTACCTTTTTGAAATTTTAGCTAGATCAGATACCAGCATTCTTCCATATCGCACCAGTTTCAATTTATTTTAAAAAAATACTAGATTCTCTCTTATATATTAATCTTCTCCTTCTGCATACTTAAGGTACTTAACAAGTTCACTTTTCCAAATCCTTTTAGAAGGAGTAAAATAAATGGTCAAGAAATAAATGGGTCACCTCGTTCCACTCCTCCATCATTACTCTTAAACAATAACCTTCTATTAAAAGCAAACTTTTACATCCAAAATCAATATGATTACTTCCCTCTAACCAAGGCGATAAACAAGCCATAATTTTGTCAAAGCCTAAGCCAGTATTCTGAATATCAAAGCTAAGCCAGTATTCTGAATATCAAAGCTTTTACAAACGGCATCCCCACCTCTCATATCCCATCATCTCTTGTTTCCTAGTACTAGCACATTGGCATGTGAAATGCACATGCAAAAATATTAAATTGTTAACCACTTGATTTTCTGTTATACATATTAATAGTTTGATAATGATATTCTATGTAATTACTAATAGTTTGATAATGATAATTTATGTAACGTTATTATAGAGTAATAGATCAACAAACATTCTAAACACAGTTTTGTTGAGAAGCTTCCTTATTGAGGATAATATCGTTGGAGCAAGTGATTAAAATAACACAGAAAAATGGAGAACATTGCAATTTAATTATGCGCATTTTAAGTTATATTGTCATGTTATGATTTAGAACGTACTAGCCATAGGAAAGGAAAACAGAAAAGAAAATAAAGGGGAAAAAAAATCTCTCTTGTAAAATTATAATTCTAATTGTGTGAGTTCAAATCATATTCCCATATCATGATTTTAGAACAATCTAGAAATAAAAAAATTCAAAAGAAAGGAAAATAATAAAGAAAAACTTGGTTGTAAAATTACAATTTTACCCTCACACCTAAAGTAGGGAGGACATTTCTCCATGCATTCAACTATTTATTACCCTCAGTAATTTCATTAGACGTCAGTATAGTTGTGTAGTAGCCTAGTAGGCCGTCATTCTGCAATTATTCATAAGCCAAATCTGAAGATACATAAAAAACCGTCTCGAGAAAACAAAATAGATTATCACTTTGGTAGTGAACACTGTAACAATGTAAGGTCATGAAAGAAGAAGTGTTCCTTAGTTTTTGGCAGCAGCATCCTAGAGAACAAGCATCCACCTCAATAATCTCTTGGAAAATTTGAGCCTCTTGCCTCCTTGTGTCCACCTAAAACCTCAATAATTCAACATTTTACAACTGTATACTCAATTTTATACGAGTCAGGACTAGAAGCACATACTGATACAAAATTTCAGATAAGACAAAACGTTCGAAGAATCCAAGTCCACAACTGAGATGTTCAAAGAAGATAAAACGAGAATTTTTCTCTGCTCCTCTTAACGTCAGATCTACGAAATAACAACTGGAAATAAACAGCTAGTTCATCGTCTACACAAACATTTTCCCAATTTGGAAAGATCAAACCTTTTCACATCCCCTCGCTCGATTATCAGATATTGAACAGGGAAATGAGGTCAAAAGATCAGAACCAAGAAAGGAGTCTAAAAAAACGCACCTTTTGATAGTCACGAGCAGCTGCTGCCATTACATTTCCAAAGGCTAGATTTGATAAGGTCGATTTCACTGAATCCGGATCCATTACTGAAAGAACTGTGAAGCTGAAGATCTCAAAACAGAATGGGAACCTGCTGCTCTTCTTGATTTCTCTGTAGAATTTCAGGGTACTTTGTTGTCTCCCCCTTTGACTGATGGCTGATCTGCAGCATCTGCTACGCCCTGTAAATAATTACAGCCCAGTTAATATTCATTTGGGCCTTGGTTTATTAATGGGTCGGATTGTTGAGGGAAATCCAAATATTAAGGACCCGATTCCGATTGTTGACCCTCAGCAATTTCTGATGAATTCACCATCAAGTAGTCGTGATTAAATATTAAGGCTGCGTTTTGGGAACTAAGATTTAGATTTGGAATGTTGATTTAAAATCAAAGGAATTAAAATCTAGGGTTTGAAATCCATGATTTGATAGAATCTTTTGTTTGGATGCCTTTACAAAATGCAAGGATTTGAAACCAAAGATTTAAAATATAGTGTTTGGATACACTTTATTATACATGAACTTGGATTTCAGAATTTGTGTTTTAAGAAAATTTAGGCTTCTCTTAACTCCTCAATCTTTATGCGGACATTAAGGTTTATATTGAGGTAAAGGTTAGGATAAATTTCACGAAGCCCCCCTGAGAAGTTTAACAAAATATCTTCAAATTTTTCGGTAACTTATTTATTAATAACTTTTCAACAATGATATCCAATATATGAACTATTATTATCTTCAAACCATCACCATTATTATCTTCAAACCATCACCATTTAATTTCATAACAAAAGGAAAACAATGCTACCATCAGCTAGATCCCAAAATATCAATTCCAATATATTTACGTCACAGGAAAACAAAAACATCTAATACAAATATGAATCCATGTTTTTAAAAAACTCCATTTTCTTTTCAATAACAAATAACACGAAACTACTCCTCACTGACACTTGAAGAAAAATCTGGATATTAAATAATGCCATTGGCTGTACTAGCAATCCTAGGCCACAAATCAGCACACTCATTTCCAATTGGTCCAGTAATTGCAGATCCTGAAGCAGCAGAAAACATCGATCAATATATATTAGATAAAGAAGCAGAAACAAATTTATGCATTACAGTTTCGATATTGAAACACAAGAAGCAAAATTCTTGTCCAGTAACTCATAAAACAAAATTTCGATATTGCAGCAAAATGAAGCATAATATATTTCAATTCAAGAAATCAATCTCATAAGTTCATACTCAAAATAGTACAAATCTTCTAATTTGAGCTAAAGTATCTCAAAGTCGGTATTCATCCCACATTTGCATAGCTAAATCATCTCTAAAGGTGCTCCATTCATCTGTAACTCTCACAGTGGTGATACACTCCTCATCTACATTCTCAATTTCTAAAACAAGAGCATCTTCTAATTCTTGATCCATATCATTCAACAAGTCGTCTTCATTCATCTCTTCACGTAAAAAGTTATGAAGAATACAACATGCATTAATGATCCTAATTTGAGTCTTAACACTATAAAAGCTAGCTGTTCGTAATATAGCCCATCGTTTTTTTAGCAATCCGAATGCCCTCTCAATTGTGTTTCTAGCAGAGGGATGACGTTGGTTAAATAACTCCTTGTAGTTTCTTGGACCATTTTCTCTCCAAGACTTTATATGATAGCGAGTCCCTCTATAAGGTGCAAAAAACCCCAGCCCATTTGTATACCCAGCATCCACAAGAAAGTATTTATCTACAAAATTGAAATCTTCAGTCACAACAATGTAAAAACTAGGAAGCAATACATATATAATAATTAAAAAAATTATATTCCTACTTGAGGGAAGTTTCAAGCCCTTGGGTCGACGCAAAGCATCACGCAAAACACGAGAATCTAAAGTTGAACCCTCCCAACCAGGTAACACATATGAAAATCTCAAATTGGCATCACAAACACCAAGTACATTTGTACTGGTCTCTTCTTTTCTATTTCCATATCTACTTTGATCTTCCAAAAGAATAGTTAATTGGATATCTTGACCTACAATAATTCTGACACAAGTGATGCTTCTTAATATAGGGAAGGGTGAAATTTTTGTGAATTATTGCACCTACAAATTCGTTGAGGACCCTAACCCAAAATTTTGAACGTCCTATGTGGGGTGTAATGAAAACACCTCAAAAAACTCATGATTATTAAAAGAAATGGAGCCTATTATAATACATAGCTGAATTGGAAAACATATAATTGCAGTGTCATTTTAATTCACTCTAATATCTCATTTGATGCTAACAACATTTTTGTTGGATATCTTGACCTCAAGATATGTTTGTTTTGATGATAACAAATATTATATGTTGTGTGTATTATGTGCTAACATATGTTTTGCAGTATCAGAGCAAAATTAACAATAATATTCAAGTAGATACTCAAGATACAAGATGAGTTCAAGGCAACAAGACAAGCAAAGAAGAATTGCTTCGTAGATTTGTATTTTTATATTTTCTTTGCTTAGAATTTATGTACAAGCCTTGATCACTCACAACACATACACACACATAGTGTTTAGAACATACTAACACATGCTTAGTGTGTGGTTAACAATAGAAATCCCCTATGTTAACCATTAGAATTTATAGATAAAGAATGAGTCTCAAAATACTTCATATATCTTATATTTACCCCTTAGTAGTCGACCAATAAGAATAATAGTCGACTACTAAAGCCTTGGTCAAAATATCAGTTTCTGTCATTTTACAGTGTAGTCGACTAATACATATTGTAGTCGACTATTAAAGACTTAGACATAATTCTAGTTTCTATGAAATTACGTGTAGTCGACTACTAGGAGTTATAGTCGACTATTAAGAGTCAGTTTAAAATTCCAGAAACTCTGTCGTTACAGTGTAGTCGACTAATGACTATAGTGGTCGACTACTAAGAAATAATCTGACTTCACAGAGTCTATTTTGACTAAGTGTAATCGACTACTAAGCATTGTAGTCGACTACAGATACAATTTTTTTAGATTTTAGAATTTGAATTTATGACTGTTTATAGCCGTTTGTGCACGTTATTTAGGTTTAAAAAGTTGTTTTTTCAAGGGATATAAATAGGTACTAAGTTCATAAATTTACAAAAAACATTCATATCTATAAGATTCAAAATTTGTGCAAATTCAAGTGTTTATCATTCAAATTTTCATTCTAAGTGTTGAGAAAAGAAAAGTTCTGAAAGTGTCTTTGATTCCATCATTCTAAAAGATTAATTAGGCATTATTCAGAGAGTAAAAGAGTTCCTAAGCCACTGCTGCACTTCACTACACATTCAAGGCTTATAGGAATTATGTTATTTCATCAAAGGAAGATTTCTCTCGGGTGTGAGAGAAGATCTCTTGGTTTTGAGATTGTTGCAATTTGCATGGTCTTGCAAATTGGTCAGTTTTACTTTTGATTTTGTACTTGGTTTTAAAATCATAGTGGAAATCTCAAACGGGATTTGCTTAGGGACTGGATGCACATCGGGGTGGTGGAACCAGTATATATCCTTGTGTTTGTGATTATTAAATTTCTGTGATTATTGTTCATTGTTATTACAATTTATAACTCATCTTGCAAACTTATTAAATAACACTAATCTTCGCCCTCTAGTGTTTAGTGTATGCTTCCGCAGATCCTACTCTTGGCATAAGAGCACCCTTACAATTGGTATCAGAGCAATGATAACAATGACAACAAATACAGCACAATTCAAAGAGGACCATTCCACACAACGACCACCACTATTCGATGGATAAAATTACAACTACTAGAAATGTCGGATGAAAATCTACCTCCAATCACTTGGCTATGACCTTTGGAACATTGTTGAGACTGAATTCACAAAGCCAACCACTCCATACACCGAATGGACACTTGTACAAAGGACAAATGTGAATCTGAACTCTAAGGCAATGAACGCTCTATTTTATACATTGAATAAGAATGAATTCAACCACGTGTCTACTTCTACATCAGCACATCAAATTTGGCATACATTAGAGGTAACACACGAAGGTACAAATAAAGTTAAAGAATCTAAAATATCTGTTCTTGTGCATAGGTTTGAATTATTCAAAATGAAGGAACATGAAACAATCTTGAAATGATCACAAGATTCACCGACATCACCAACTCTTTAATTGCTCTTGGAAAAGAATATACACAATTAGAGATGGTGAGAAAAGTACTTCATGCACTCACACCGGAATGGGAGAAGAAGACAATGACAATTGAAGAAGCCAATGATCTCTCAACACTCACTCTAGAAGATCTCGTTGGGAATCTAATAGCATATGAAGTACAACTTCAAGATAGAAATGAAAGAGAACAACCATAGAAGAAATTACTTGCTTTCAATGCATTTTCTGATAACGAAGAACCGGATGAAGATGATGAAGACATTGACACATTTTCAAGCAAATTCAAAAAGTTCCTTATACAAAGTAAGTATTAAAGGGTTAAAGATACTAACGATAATATTATATGTTATGGATGTAACAAGCCAGGACACATCAAAAAGGATTGTCCTCTTCTAAAGTCAAAGTCAAAGACACTAACGATAATATTGTATGATCTTTGAGTTCTGTTGATGATGATGATGCTTGGGTAGGTTGGTGGGTGATGTGGTGCGGGATTGGTGATTGATAGTTGTGATGGTGAAGATGATGACATAGCAAATAGTAGAGGTGGTGAACTAGGGTGGCTATGCAACAATTATGAGAGGTAGGGTGGGGCAAGAGGTTAGAGGTTGATGTGGAATAAGATAGAAACTGGAGAGAGACCTGAATCCAAAGCATAGTTGCGCAATTTCCTGGACCACCTATCACATGACAACAACATCATGTGCATGTGACAAGCCTCACGCATTTTTAGATCACAGATGAACAATATTTGCTATTGATGGAAGGTCAGAGAGAAAATACAAATACAAGTTCAATTTGACCATACTTGTACTACTAAAGAGTATACATACTTCATACCAGTAGCTACTCTCACTACAAAAATGTGACTATTACGACAAAAACACTTTTAGCAACTCTTTGTTGGCTGTTCTCGCTTCAATCGGGACTTACGCGGAATTTAAAAAGGGTTGAAAACCATGGGGTGAGCTAGACCCTAATGATGACATTTCCGCACTAGTGTATTTGGCAAAAATAATATCAAAATTTTAATATTAAGTAAGCTAGCACCAACTTCTTTATTTGCAAATTATCAAGCATATATGGTTGTAACAATGACCGATGCCACGTGTCATAATAATATGAGGTAGCAGATTAATTATGATTTGGTCATAAATCAAGGTATTGAGTAAATACAATAAAACTAAAAACACAACTAAATGTGAGGAATTAAAATAAGAAAAAAAAAACGAAATGAGTGTCAATTCCTCATTATATCAGCCGATTACTTTAAATTATCCCCTCAGCTTGTCACACTAAGACTACTAATTTTAGTCCAGTAGTAAAGGAAAGTGAATTCATATCACTTTGACAATTTTCTTCCTAAAAGTACAATACCTTTAGGCTTATCATAAGTTGTCTGTCGCCCTCATCAGTTGTGTCAAAGAAGGCCATTTCTTTTACGTTAAACAAACCACTTCACTTATTAGTGCACCCAATACTTAGATAGAATTGACCACTTCACTTAATAGCGACTTTGGGGTTTCCTTATTTTTTAGATTTATTAACAATTATTTCTTTTAGTTGTCACAAAAACCAAGTCATGGATAAACATATGGAATCTGTAGAATATTCCATAACTCGTTTTAACACTTCTTTCACATATAAAATTAAGAGAAAGCAACATTCATATTTTTCTAAATGGTGTATATGAAGAACCAAGCTTATTTGTATTCCCCTTGGGTTCAAATAGACATATGCATGCAAAATCAACAATATTAAATTTCACAATAAAGCATGTCCACACCCCTTTCTCACTTAATAAAATCATAAGCACATATCATTGCCACACAAATAATTTTTCACAATTCAATATACATAGGAAATTTCTGTTTTTTCCCCTTCAAAAAATAACTAGTGAGAAATGTACTCACCTATACCCATTGCAAAGCATTATTATGATTCCCTTAATTCAAAGAAGGTTCTATAGTATAAAAATTTTATAAGGTTAATATCAATTCATTTAAATCAACTTATAGGTTAATAACATCTCTTAATCCTAGGTCCCCACAAGTTAAATAGCAAACAAACTTCTAAAAAGGTTTATACTAAGGCACTGTTTGGCAACCAAAAAAAGTATCTTATCTAAGAGCTTGTGTCTTATTGACTTGGTCAATAAGCTAGTAGAGCTGTTTGGTGACCAAAAATAGGAGGAGATTATTTTGAAGATTGTGTCTTTTGCAAGTAGCTTTTGAAAAGCTATCTCAAGTAGCGTTTGTCTTTGGGAAGGAACTGTCAAATTTTTTTCTTCCGTTTTTACCCCTAATAATTCTAATTTTATATCAATAATATTACATGACTTTTTTAGTCATTTAACAAATTTAAGCTAGTTGTACAGCTTCTTTTGCCAAACAGCTCTAGTCAATCAGCTAGCTACACAGCTATCAGCTTTCAGCTACAATTTCACAGCTTTCAGCTAGCTTGACAGCTTTCAGCTATAATCTCGCAGCTTTCAGCTAGTTTTGCCAAACAGAGCCTAAATGTATAAGGAATTTATCTAATATTTTTAAAGCACCTTTTCATGGATTTTTTTGGGTCTAGACTAAATTTTCTATTTCCTTGTAAACGACTGTCTGTTTGGAGCCTTTTGGTTAGTTTCAGAATTTTAGGGTCTAGCACTACCCTCCTAAGCTGTGGTACTTGCAAACTTTGATACATAAATTTATTCCCCAAAATTAGCTAACACTTATAGACGAGGGATGCAAAGTTCCATTAAATGTACATATGCAAGACACAATGCAATGTCGCAATTGAGTGAAAGAAGGCACATAATAGGATATATGAATTCATAGTTTCCAAAACTAGGATAATAGGATTTACTACTTATTGCAATCGATTCGTCTGTGTGAGTTGCCTCTACTCAAATATTAGTAGTAGTTCGTTGTCTTCTAAAGCTCATCAAGCAGCTCTTTGGAATTTAGCCTGCCACTTCACGGGATTTGAAATCCCGTGAAGTTATAAGCTTCACTGGATTTCAAATCCCATAACACTAATGGGGGGCTTAAACTTCATAGGATTTGAAATCCCGTGAAGTTTTTGATGTTTTTCGCCAAATTAGACCTAGTTTTAGCTAACTGGCTAAAACTAGGTCTAGTTTGGCAAATATTTTTGAAATATTTTATTTTTTGCAAATAAGTTTCTAAAGAGGTCTAAAACGCAAATTTGTCCTTAATTTAAACCTAAAGATCTTTACTACGTATAGTTCAAAATCAGGCCTCAACACAACTGAATGTCGAACAAATGAACTCCTCCAGACCAAGCTCACAATAAAAATGAACATGGATCTGTTCAAATGTAAATCTAGGAAAAACCTGTGTCGAATAAGAGTAGGACAAAGCCATGAGTACCTAGTGTACAAAATATAGAGAAACTACAAGTTTGCCACTTTCAATCAGAATCAGAATCGTGAACATCTGATGTTCTGACACTCCTATTTCTTCCATACTCATCATCATCGTCTTCCTCATTATCCTTCTTCCTCTCATCGATTATTCCTAAAACACGAGATAGTTTTGACATCACAACCTAACACATATTTTTCAAAAAAAAATTCAGGAAACAATAAGCACCATTGCTTTTTAAAAGATTAACCAATGCTCTAGTAGGGAAATCATCTTTGCCTCCGAGGTCTTGAAATCCAACTATTGTTGGGAAAAACCTGGGGCTACGCTAAACCACTAAAACAACAGAAACACAGTATAGAGAAAAATCCATCAAGATTTACAAGGTTTAGCAAACTTGTCTACGTCCTTGGGATCCACATAATTAATTTCTTATTAATCAAAGAAATTATAATAAAAGAGCAGATCTCAAACTTGAGATCTCTCAATAAATACAAATCAATATTGTAGCTATAGTATTGATTCCCCCTCTTTTAATTCCCCCTCAAAATAACCTATTGAGAGCTGGGAAAAAGATCCCCACTTTAATTCTCAAACCCTCTTCTCTTTTCTCCTCTTAAAATCCCCCCTCAAGTCTCTTTGAGCGCCGGAGAAAAAAATGCCAAGAGAGAAGAAAGAGGATCGCTGCCGCCTAGGGAGAAATCACGAAGGACCCAGAGGAAAAGCAACCCCAGATCTCGGATATGGGTTCCCTTTTTATAGAGGAACCCCAACGACTGCTTGCACCCAACCTCGCCTGCGGGTGCCTCAAACCTCACCTGTAGAGTCTGCCTTGGACCTCGAGCTCGCCTGACTGAGCTCCTCGCCTGTGACCGCCAAGATATCGAGCTCGCCTGTGCCTCGTCGACTGGAGCTCGCCTGAAGATCGTGAGCTCGCCAGGATCTCGAGCTCACCTGAAAGGAGCTCGACCTTGCTTGAGCTCGCCTCAACCTCGCCTGAGCTCGCCTGAAGGTAAGTTTGGGCTACACACCCAGATCCAACAATCTCCCACTTGGAGACTAAACCACCATCAGCAGGCTATCTCAACAAGTACCTCCTCCTGTGTGGCTCCACCCTCATTATCTATGTATGAAGGCCAACTGAAGTTATGCACAACTCTAGTTTCTGAATGATCACCGTCTTTGTTAACATATATGCTGGATTCTTACTTCCTAGAATCTTCTCCAGTTTTAACATGTTATCTTCTAACAGTGATCTGATGAAGTGGTACTGAAGCCCAATATGTTTCGTTCTAGAATGAAATACAGAATTCTTAGCCAAGTGAATCACACTTTGACTATCACCGTGCAAAACATTATTCTCCTGTTTGAATCCTAGCTTAGTTAACAAACCCTAAAGTCATATCATCTCTTTGTTGGCTTCAGTTACTGCTACATACTCAGCTTCTATAGTGAATAGAGTGACAATCTTCTGATTTTGTGACATCCAACTGTAGGCATATAAAATTGCTTATAGGTCCCTTTTGCTCAGCTCGACACGAACCGACAAACCAACGAGGCGACGAGATCGACGAATCGCACGCAAGCAACGGAATACATCCATTCGCGTGCGGGATCAAGCCAAGTGTTCGAAGAGTCAACGAGTCATCCAAACCGAGAGCGACTCGAACGAATCTGACGATCGAATCAAGATCAGTTTCGACTCAGATTCAGAAGTGATTTACTGCCTAATCAGGATCCGACTTACTGCCAAATCTGGAATCAAGTCAACGAGCGTTTCCAGGTCAATCAACCACACAACAGAAACACAACCGAATCAAGTCCAGATCAACAACGAAACACAGAACCGGACAACGGAAAATGACGGAACGAAACAACACCC